CGCCAGCCCGTGGTGCAACACATTTTATTTGCAGGTTTTCAGCTTTCCAGAACCTCTCCCTTCACTCACGCCCTCCAAGCTCCACCAGCAGTTCTAAAATTATTTCAGTCGATGCTCTAAATATTCTACAGGCAATTTCATCAACATCTACTTTCCCAAAGCACTCTTTAGCCTGTTCCTCCCCTTTTGTTGCCTTAATTCTTAACCCTTTTTTTCCCATGTTGATCCTCCTGTTGAAGACTGAACCCTGCTGCCCCTTGGCATCGCTGGCCAATGCCCCTCACCCCAGCGAGTAGCACGGCACACCCTTTGCTACCTTTCCTGCTGTCAATATGACATTTAAAAATCATGCCTTATTACCCTTCAGATTCGTTCCTGCTCACGGTTTGGCCTTGCCAGTTTTGTCCTTTTTCACCCATGAAGCAGCACGGCACACCCTTTGCAAGCTTTCCTGCTGTCAATATGACATTTAAAAATCATGCCTTATTACCCTTCAGATTCTTTCCTGCTCACGGTTTGGCCTTGATCCTCCTGTTGAAGACTGAACCCTGCTGCCCCTTGGCATCGCTGGCCAATGCCCCTCACCCCAGCAAGCAGCACGGCACACCCTTTGCAAGCTTTCCTGCTGTCAATATGACATTTAAAAATCATGCCTTATTACCCTTCAGATTCTTTCCTGCTCACGGTTTGGCCTTGCCAGTTTTGTCCTTTTTCACCCATGATACTCCTGTAAACTCAGCCTTTGTCATCTGATCTCATTTTCACTTTATACACCCAGTTTTCCTTTATTCTGTTGGGTTTTGGCCAGTGAGAAGATCGTGTTTAGTTACATTAGTTCTTACCCTTCTGCTACATCAGGGTAATGTGTACTTATCCCTTTAATATGAATCCCTCAAGAGCTTTCTCCCTTTGCTTCCCTTCCTTCTGGTTTCTGATAACATCTTACCTCCCAATTCCTGTTGTTGACTGGCATCATATTTTTTTTCACCGAGTTCAGAGTCTTTACTTTGTTTTTCTCTCTCCCCCCAGTCCTGAAAGGATGGATTTTGGGGAAAATGTTTACATGTAAAGGGTTATGAAGCCTTGGAATGGGCTGCCCAGGGCAGTGGTTGAGGCACCATCCCTGGAGGTGTTTAAAAGCCGGGTTGACATAGTGCTTAGAAACATGCTTTAGTGATAGTTTTTATCAGAGTGATGATCTTAAAGATCCCTTCCAACCCAGACAATTCTCTGATTCTCAGACTCTGGAATAAGGTATGCAGAGGCAACTCAAGGTTACCAAAAGGGACTGGCATCCCCAGGCCATTCATTCCCATTCAGCTGTTACTTTACAATTTACTATTCCCAGTGGTTTTCAGTGTTTCACACACAAATGTGGTCAGAACCGTGTTATTAAGTCTGCGAAACACACCTTCTGGAAAAAGCAGGTTTTCCACTGTCTGTACGGATGATCACCACGTGTCTGAGCTTGTCAGACATTCTCACAAACTCTCTCATGTTTCGCAAATCCTACCTGAGCATTCACCACGCTCTCGCTCGTTACCTCTGTTAACAAGTAATGTTTACTGCTCTCTAGAAGTACAGAAAAGCAACACAAATTCATAAATACATACAGTATCTCACAGGGAACCCAAGCTATGCATGCTCTTGTAAACCAGATTCTTCAGTTCACAAGGGAGTTCTCACTCACCATGCCTTAAACACGTTATGTTGTACCTTAAACACCAAAATATCTAACTAGATCTCATTTTCAAGAATTAAAAGCGTTCACACAGTTGGGTAAATGACACCTCATTGCACGTGAAAGCTTTTCTTAAAACTGATTTGTGTTTTCAACTTAGACGGTACTTACTCCTTCCAAATCATTCTAGCACCAACAAGGAAAAGGGACTTTTGAGAAGCTCTGGCCGTTAAGGTGTAAGGTTCCTCACACACTGGCACACACTGCAGTCTCCGGGTAGCAAACCCTGTAGGACCACACTTCTTGCCAATTCAAACTACACCTTTAGTGATCAAGGACCGGATAAAAATGCATGGCAAGAGTCACCCTTCACTATAATCACTGAGAATCAAGCCACCCATGCATCAAATTTAACTTGCCTGTCTGTTATTGCCATCTTTTTTGTTGCTGTTGTTGCTGACCCAGAAAACCCACCAGCTCAGGTTGCACATGAGCCATTGTCACCTTCGCAGCCACTTCCAATCAGGGGGAGGATCTGATGCAATACTGCATCCCCAGAGAAAATGTGTCAAGGCTCGATTCGGGGCACGGACACAGCTTCAGACCGTGCTTTGTGTGTTTCTGGAGTTCACTGCAGACAACGGCAACCTGTTCCCTCCCGGTGACGCACTGAGATTTATTTATTTTTTGGTTGTACTCGCTCACACGAAGTTTACCTGGAGCAGCAACATCCTGCCTGCAGACATTCAGTGCCTCCCTTTTCACTACATTTACTCTAATTCATTTAATTTCTGTAAACAGAAATTGAATGTTGATCTTCAGCAGCCTCCCCTGCTGCAGTACATTCGGATCCTGGAATATTGAGCGAAGCACTTGTTTAGCTGCATGGGCATGCACACTTCCTCCCTCACTCCAAAGAGCACAAACTACCCATTTACTGATAAACATATTTCTTTCCCTCTGTTCCATTAAAAGCGCGATACAGGTGTGACCCAACCTCTGCTGCTAAAGCCTTGCTCTAGTGGACAGTTTCCCAACAATCACCCAGATATCAAAATTCCCCTGCCAGTAACATTAAACCAGCGCGTGTTTTATCACCCATCAGAGGGCAAGCACCCTATTTCTTATATAAAGCAAGAGTTATGTTAGATAAAGAAAAAATAACTGTGCCTCTAACCCAACAGGACCCTATTAAGGAGCTAACTGAGAAATGTGGAGCAGTCCATGGACCATAGCCAGCTGAGCTGGAGAACCAGAGCCCATCCTTCACCCCAGGGACTCGCAGCAGCCCTTTGCCAGACGGGGAGGTGATGGCCCCTACGCCCAGACACTGGGCTGCACTCACAGCACCCGTGTCCTCAGCCTGCCCTCTGTCCCCAGCACCCAAATCCCCAGCCCTGCACCCATCTCGGTCCCACCGGCACAGACGTTTGCACGCCCAACCAGGGAACCCGTCTGCCTGGAAAAAACACTCAGCACAAACAAAAACTTTGTTTTTCAGCCGGATCAGTTTCTCAAAGCAGTTAATCCCTCGCTTTTGCTGCCCTCATGCAAGGAAAAATACAGGACATAATTGAGCCAGCTTAGGCAACGGTGCCGCTGGGTGTGCAGGCTCCCCCAGGCAGGCAGCTCCAGCTCCCGGGATGTCACCAGCTCCAGATACACCCTGTCCCTCTCCTCGTGCTCACCCTGTCCCTCTCCTCGTGCTCACCCTGTCCCTCTCCTCGTGCTCATTCCCCACAGACACAGGGCAATAAAAGCCACCCCACTCCTGAGCAGCACAGGAACAGTAATTCCACTGTATCAGCCCCTCCGTGTAACCTAAGGGGCCCGAGCGACAGATAAAGCAATGTTTTCTGGGCACTAATGTATGCAGCAATGATGTCATTTAAAGATTTTGTGTGCCCGGAGATACGTCTGGGGTTTTTCCTTCGGCTGCAACAGTTGGCCTGAAAAAACCTCCCCCCAGTTCTTCCTCCTCATTCTTAGACTAACACAGCTACACCACTTCTGCTACGTGTTTTATCTTGAGGTTGTTTTGTTCTTCAGTGAAGAATTTAGAGCTTTAGAGTCTTCTTCTGACAAATTCTCTCCAAGTAACTGTTCAGAGCTGACCCCTCCTGTAGCACCTTCAGACACTCTCCTCCAACACTGCACCCTCTGTCACAGGGCACTCCCTCGCTGGCCCGCAGCGCCTCTGCTTACGTGTTTGTTCAGAGAACAAATAAATAACAAATAAATGCTCAGATGATCAGCACCCTTTCTTTTTTTTTTTCCTGTTGCATTTATCAAGTAAAACAGCTCAGAAAATTCAAACGCGTATTTAAAAGACAGAAAAAAAGATTAAAAACTAGCAATAAATTCATGCACCTCAAGTATAGTATATTCTGATAGCATTTCTCCTGTTCCCTCCCTGTATCCAGTCTGACAGTGTCCGTACCTGCTCCTGAACTCCCCCCACTCCCTCTGACTGGAGGAACTCCCAGTGCCAAGCATCGTCCTGTGTGCTGTGACACAGACCTTCATACATCTTCCTGTGCCTGGAATTACCAGTTGCTGGTCTGTTTTATAACGCTGGGAAGGACAACGGACAGGCTGAAACTCAGGCAAGGCTCACTGAACTTTACGTTGAGCAGAAGAGAAGCTGGAAATAGAAGTCAGTATAGATAGTGGAAGAAATGGAGAGGGACTCTGGATGAGGGAGGGGAGCCCTAGGAGGAGGGGGAAGAGTTTGACACTGAAAGAGGGGAGATTGAGATGAGATGTGGGGAAGAACTTTTGGTGTGAGGGTGGTGAGAGCCTGGCCCAGGTTGGCCAGAGAAGCTGTGGCTGCCCCATCCCTGGAGGGGTTCAAGGCCAGGCTGGATGGGGCTTGGAGCAACCTGGTCTGGTGGGAGGTGTCCCTGCCCAGGGCAGGGGGTGGCACTGGATGGGCTTTAAGATCCCTTCCAGCCCAAACCATTCTGTGATTCTAAGATAGCAACTCTCCCACTGTTTTTTTGGTGGCCCCACAGCATTGACTGACTCCTGGTACTTCCCAGCTCCTCAGAAGCCCTGCTGCCATCACATTAGCCACTCTCTGATCATTTTCAGAGCGTACGGCACGTTAACACCCCCGTGCACCCACTGGGGATCCCGCTCAGCCGCACACCCGCACGCAGGGCCAGCAGAGGACAGGGTTTTCCCATAAGTGACTCCTACTCGGGAAAATAAAGTTCCTATTTTAGTAGCCTTCAGGGACTGTGACACTTTGAGAGCAACACCATATTTGTGAGGGGAGGCAAACCTAAATCCTGCCCGGCCGGCCCCATTCTCTTACCTCTCTCGAAGACCAGCTCCCTGCTCGAGAGGGTCTGGTTGTCCCTGAGCACCTCTCCCCTGACGGTGACCTGCGCCGGGCTGTCGGGGAGCAGGGCCACCCCCACGCTCAGGTTCGCTCCGGGACGGATGTTCCAAGGAACTGCCACCAGGAACGTCGGGCTGGAAAATCCCAAGGGGCAAGAGGGAGAAAGGGCAGGGAGTGAAAGAGAATCCCACCCCCCAAAAAATCAAAGAAACGGCGCAGGATACAAGGTGCAAACCCTTCCCTTGCGCTGCGCTGGGGAGGCTGGAGGTGATGCTCGCCCAACGGGGGTACCCAGAGCCCACCGGGGGTACCCAGAGCCCGCCCGGGGGTACCCAGAGCCCGCAAGGGACCACCCAGTGCCTGACAGGGGTACCCAGAGCCCACCCGGGGGTACCCAGCGCCCGCAAGGGACCACCCAGTGCCCGCCAGGGGTACCCAGAGCCCGCCCGGGGGTACCCAGAGCCTGCAAGGGACCACCCAGAGCCCGCCGGGGGTACACAGTGCCCGCCCGGGGGTACCCAGTGTCCGCCGGGGGTACCCAGGACCCGCCGGGGACCACCCAGCGCCCCCCGGCTCAGCCGTCCGGGGGAAGGCAGCCCCGCTCCGCCCGCGGACCCTCCGGGGAAGCCCCGCTCAGCCCCCGCACCGGGCGGGGAGGGGATGCGCTGCGCCCCGCGGACCCGCCCGCCCCCGGCCCCGCGTACCCGGCCGCCGCGGAGCTGCAGAGGAGGAGGAGGAGGAGGAAGGGGCATGGGAATAGAAAGGATCTAACCAGCAAAACCTGAGCAGGTTGTGGACAAAAGATCCCCCCAGCTGTTAGCACACAAGCCGGGGTCCGTCTCGGCCCCCCTCGACACCCCGCACCTTGGGGGGGGTTCTCGGGGAACACAACGTCCTACATCCCGCCCCCCCCCCATCCCCGGAGGAACTCTCTCCGCCCGTACCGCCGGGCCGTTACCGGGAGCGGAGCTGGGAGAGGCTCGGGGAGCCCCCCCGGACCCCCCCCGGCAGGGGGCTGGGGCTCGGGGCCGGGCCGGGAAGGGGTCTGGCTCTGAACCGGGAGAACTGGAGGAAACTGGAGGCGCCTTGGTAGCTGCTCAAACGTGAGGCAGTTGGGAATGGGCTCCGGGCTGTCCTCTGTGCCCAGCCTCTGCAAAATCAGGTCAGACGGGTGCATCTCAAACACTTTCAGACCCCCCAGAAATGCCCTGGAGCAGCTGGGGTGAGAGTCTCCTTCCTTGGAGATTTTCAAGACTCGCCTGGATGCTCCTGAGTAACATGCTCTAGCTCTAGGCAATCCTGCCTCAGCAGGGGAGTTGGACTAGATGATCTCTATGGTCCCTTCCAACTCTAAAATTCAGTGAAATTCAGTGAAATTCAGTGAAATTCTGCCCCTTTAGCAGGGCCGGTGTAACTGTGCAGACCGGACACACCTCACGGTGATTTGACTCATCCGAATTCTCTCATCCCCACATGAGGCTCGTAGGTTCAGAAATTCCACCCAGTTCTTGGAAGTCCTGTGTCCGCAGAAGCGCTGGGCTGGCACCTCTGTGCTGGGTCACCCCCACAAAATATGGTCACATTTTGTTACATCGGTTACAGCCCTGAATAGAAGCACCATGTTTTGTTCTGATGAAAATCAGGTATGGTCAGTAGGTGTCCATACACCCTGTGCTCCACCAGCACCCCAGGCAGCCATAGAATCATACAATCGTCGAGGTTGGAAGGGACTTTAAAGATCATCTAGTCCAGCCTTTCAACCTGACTCTGACAAAAAAATAAATAAGAAATAAGCAATAAAAATATCACTAAACCATATTCCTGAGGACCATGTCAACCCGTCTTTTGAACAACTCCAGGGATGGTGCCTCAACCCCTTCCCTGGGCAGCCCATTCCAATGCTGGATAACCCCTTCCATGACGAAATGTTTCCTAATCTCCCATCTAAACCTCCCCTGGTGCCACTGGAGGCCATTTCCCCTTGTCCTATCTCCTGTGACTTGGGAGACAAGACCAACCCCCGCTTCTCTATGCCCCCCCTCAGGTAGTTATAGAGTGCACACCACCTCTTCACCTCTTTTAGATTTGCTTCTCTATGTTTTCACACCTCTGCTGGCTCTCTGGGGGGTGTGGGTGGCTGTGGTGACCAGAGGGAGGGTATATCCTGTGCAGGGTGTATCCTGGTGCCTGATGGTCACTCTCAGCCACTCCTCACCTGCCAAAAAATCATAGAACCATCTAGGTTGGAAGAGACCCTTGGGATCGTTGAGTTCAACCATCTACCCCACTCTACAAAGTTCTCCCCTACACCGTATCCCCCAACACGGCTCTTAAACACATCCAGGGATGGTGACTCCATCCTGGTGGTGGACTCAACCACCACAAAAGGTGCACAGTGAGGAAAAGTGGGGGGTGGGGTGTTAGGGGGGTGTTTGCTGCTGTTATTTGCAAGCCCTTAACTCGCTGCTTGTGAGAAACGGGCAGGGAAGATGAACAGTCACTTCCACTGCTTTTCTTGGAGATAGTGGGGAAAATCACTTCCCCCCCAGTGCCCCGGCCTCGGGGGGCAAAGCTCCTCATAGCACACGTTTCTCCAGTCCCTGGCACTGGCACACCACCACTCCTCTCACTACCAATCACCTCCCTCATTCTCCAAAATGTGGGGGCCATACCCAAACCTTCTATGGGGTAGGGTCCGTGCTGCCCCCCAAGCACACCTCCCATGCCAGGGAGCACTGGCCGGGGCAGAGCCATGCCGAGGTCAGCCTGAGGGCAGGGACAATCAGCTCCCAGGCACAAGAACATTTGCTGGCACCGATTAACTCATTAGCATGGATGTAGACCAAAAGTCCATTAGGGAAAGCACTTGCAAATACATTTGCAAATGTCACAGATTTTGCCCATTGGGCAGCAGTGTCGTGGACTCCCTCTTCCCTTTTGGGTTTTTCCTAAAGGCTTGCTATTTAAAGATACTTTTGAATATCTATTTGATCTCTTCTTCTACAATAACACCAACAAAGAACTCCTATAGCAGGAAGTAAGAGAAGCCTCTTCAACTGCCCTGAGCCAGTGAAGGGGATGCTCTGGAGACACAGTTTGGGGGTAAATCCCAAAGTAAAACCCAGGTTATGACTGGGTTCTGCGTGCTGGCCAGGGCAGCAGGCTGAAAAATCCCTCACCATTCAACTCTCACCTCTCTGAGCTAAGCAAGTACTACCAGCCTCAAGTTTAACACCCATCTGTGATATGTCACCATAAGGAAAATCCCACTTTTCCCACCTTCACTGCTCCCCAGGAACTTTTTAATTTTGCTAATCCTTCATGGGCTTTTACAACCAGAGCCTGCAAAGGCTGCAAAAATCATCTCTGGCACTGGCCTCACAGCTACGCTGCTCCCTGCGCCTGAACACCGGCGTTGAGTCTAGCCAGGATATATGTACCAGCACCAGCTGGAAACACACCTCGGAGCTGCAGCCTGGGTACAGGCAGTGAAGATGTGTGAAAGTCAATCCAGAGCTCTGGAATAGCTCCTGAACGGTTCTGGGAAGCACCTTCTGGGTAAATGGGGAGGGTGGGGGCGTGCACTGCTGCTTGTGTCAGGGCTGGCTGGAAACACACGCCTGCACAGCAAGGGCTGCTTTTCCAATGTCACAAGTAGATGACAGTACCCTCTGGTAAATGTGAAAACCTGAGCACTGGGGTAGCTGAAATACCAGGACAAAATCTCCGCCGAGTCAAAACCTGCTTGATTTGGACGGTCAATTCCCCCATCCTGCTTTTAGCATCAAGGGAGAACTTGGCTGCTCAGACACCCCGTGGATGCAGCAGGCGCTCGCCCAGGCTGTGCTACAAACAGAGGCTCTTTCCACGGAATGAGGCAAATTTCGGGGAAATCTGAAGAGCTATGCCATGTGGAAATTTGAACTAGAGGATCACTACAGTCTCTTTCCAGCACAATATCCTGTCTCCTCCCGAGCTCAGCCGGTTTGCCTTACGCATCACTGAGCTCAGGGCCTGCAACAAAGCTCATTTAGGGGACGGATAAATCTTTTAATTAATCTCAGTAGGCTTTGGATGAGGTCCTAGCAGAAACCGTGATTCAGCAGCTCGTGGAACTAGGAAGGAAGTAAAAGTCTTATCACTTGTAGTGAGTGGAGCACAATTACAGTGAATACTAAAAATAGGTGGGTGGTAGCAGGAGATCCCGTGGTAGCAGGAGATCCCATGGTAGTAGGAGATCCCGTGGTAGCAGGAGATCCCGTGGTAGTAGGATATCCCATGGTAGTAGGACATCCCATGGTAGTAGGAGATCCCATGGTAGCAGGAGATCCTGTGGTAGTAGGAGGGCATGGTCCTGGCTTGGATGTAAGCCCAAAGAACTGGCATTTGCCAGAAAGTCCTGACAGGATGGTAGGACAGAAAGCTCTCCCAGAAGACACCACCCCTGATGCTGGTTCCAATGACGGACTCTGTCGAAACGTTTTACATTAGGCTGAGGGAGGGTGTGCCAAGCACTGAAACTCGCCCTGAGCTACCAGGGTGGAGTTCCACGAAAATCTGGCCTACATTACGATTAAGATCTTTTGTTCCTGGCACCTGAAGACATCTCTCTTAGTAAATAATGTTATTTGCAAATTCACTTCCAACTTGAACTGTTGCTCCAGGCAGAGGGGGTAGATTCACCTGGGTAGATGCGGACCCTGCAGTCTTCTACAATTACTTCTTTGCAGTCACTGGATAGATGATGGAGGGAAGCGGACACTTTTCAGAGCAGATTTATACGACTCATTAAGATACCAACACTTGAACGATCAGACATTCAGAAGCGGCCTTCCAAACGAATCAAGTGAATCCCATCCTAAAAGCATCAATTTCTATTAAATGTCTAAACAGGGACTCAAGGCGAGTATTTGAAACACATCTTCTTGTCACCAGAACACATAAGATGTCCATAGCTTACGTGTTCTCATTGAGCAATTAATGGATCAAACCTAAAGACAGACATTCATTTTGACAAGCTTTGGATCAGGGCTGGTTTGAAGGTATCAGCTTTTGTTTCTATTTGTTCAAAGGCTGGTGTAAGAACAAGCAAACAATGTCCAAATAGGAGAAAAGCTCCTTCGTTGTTAGTATAGCATAGGAAGAGCTTATTACCTTGGAATTATATGTTTATATTTTCATAATATTTTAATTTTTATCATTAAAATACCTGTACACATTTTAAGCATACCCACACAAATTAATGGGGTCAAATGTGTAAATAGTGTATTATTGTACTATATGCATTATTATATGTGTGTTTTGAAATAACCCAGCAAAGTAAAGTACTGTCTTGTTGGAAACACACCAAATGTAGAAGGACATCATGCTTAAGGCTTCATGGGGTTTTGAGAGATTCACTTTTAGAAGTGAGATTCAGAAAGAAAGGGTTCTCGCAGGACCACAATGAATTACTGCAGAATGACCCCATGTTTTTGTTCCTGATGTTACTATCCACAGCAGGCTTTCATGTGCAGCTGAATGTTCTGATTTCTGCTGCAGGTGTCCTCAGAGTAGACCCTTGGCTTTACAGAACTCACCGGCACTGAAACCATTGCCTTCAGTGAGGTCAGGACCCAAAATTGTGTCCTCCACCTCCCTCAAATCTCTGCCACTTTGATCTGAAGAACTGAGTTTTCTTGCATTATTATAACTTTGATTGATGTGCTGTATCTTATCAGATACCTATGAGCAGAACATTTCAGAAGCAGGTTCATATAATGTCCTTTCTTATCACAAAGGAGAAGTTACGCCTTAATTTTATTTTATTTTAGCATTTGTCTCTGCTTGTAAAACATTCACCCATACAGTTGGGGCATGTTTAAACAGGTACCAACGTACTATTTTCATGAAAGTGAGAAAAAGTAAAAAAATTTCGACAAACGATGACAGTTTGTCCTCAAAAACCTGTTGTCCCAGGGCAGTATTTGTTACAATCATATGTGATGGAATTCCATTTACCAGGATTCATTAATCATTTGATCTTAGCCGTCCTTATTCCCTTTGCTCTCTGAGGGCTTTCAAAAGGTCAGTGCGACCCTTCCTCGCCGCAAATACTGCTGAAATGGCCAAGAAAAAAATCATTTTCATTAAACAATTTAGTGTGCATTAACAGTTTTTCATTTTAAAGAAGGTGAGAATTCCCTGGGGACTCAATTATCTTAAACTATAGCTTATAATTAAACTGTAAATTCAAATGCCAGCTTTTAGAAAGGGGAGTTTCTAAAGGCAGTGTTTCCATCGTGCCATAGAGCAGTTTCTCTGAAGTGCATGCATTCGTACCTTGTCACTTCACTTCTAGTTAAGTGCAGAAAAACTGGCAGATTTTTCAATGAGTGTGTGTTTCTGGGATGGATAGCTATTTACGACCTTCACCCACCCATGAGAAGGGGATGTTAGTACAGCAGGCTGTTTTATAGAGCAGTGGGTCCCTGGAGGCAGAGGCAGCTTCCTTGCAAAAGCAGCCCGGCCTGAGAGCAATCCCTCGCGCAGACAAACCCAATTCCCTACATTTTCTAAAGAAGTAAGTTGAGGAGTGGAGACAGCGCCTTAAACTGAGAGACAGGGGAGCTGGTTGAGGCCCCATCCCTGGAGGTGTTCAAAAGACAGGTTGATGTAGTGCTGGGAGGTATGGGTTAGTGATGGTGATGCTTCTTGTTTGTTGTGTGGGTGTCTATTTTTGTCAGTTAGGTTGACGGTTGGATAAGATGATCTTTAAGGTCCCTTCCAACCTAGAAGATTCTGTGATTCTGTGAGACTAAAGAGAGCAGCCTCCACGACACCTTCGTGGGAAGAAAGCAACAGGTGCCAAAATATGGCAGAAAAGTGTGAAAAAGAACCAGCAGTCCAGAATTAAAGTCAACCAACTGCAAATGTGCAAAGTGGCACACAGCATCAAGAGGGGTTTCTTCCCCAGCACGCTGCCAGGGAAAGCTGCTGCTTCTCACGGCTTCCCATCAAACCTGAATGCTTTTTCCAACCTCTGCACCATAGAATCAGGCTAAAGAGAGGGACAGCGTGCTGAAATTCTGCACCCCATGGCACACAGAAGGCACCTCCAGGCAGCTGGGTGAAAATCCACGAGGTTGCTCTTGAGCTGAGGGACCAAAATGAGCCAGCGAGAGATGAACGTATCCCGGGGATCTGCTCCCAAGGAAATGGAACAGAACGGACAAGAGGGAAAGCACAGCACCTAACAGTGGCAGAGACTGTACTATTTCAGTCCTGGTTTCCTCCATCTCGGCATGTCCAGAAAAGGTCAACGCCAGAAAAAAAAGAAGACTAAATTAGAAGTAGTTGTTAAAATGAAACGTTTTCATAGGATGTGATCTCTTGCAGGACAGGTTGGATTTTTCCTTCTAAAAATGGAAACCAAACTTTCTGCTGGGAAATTGTTCAAAAGCTAAAATTGTGACCATAGTTAAGTTTAGCTTGGTTTTTTTTTTTTTTAAATCTAGAAAAAAAAATGAGGAAAAAAACCCCTTTACTTTCCAACCACCTCCCCCATGGTATCAAGCAGCAGCAGTTATTTGGAGCAAAATCTAAAGAAAAAAAAAAAAGAGGAAAAAAAACCCTTTACTTTCCAACCACCTCCCCCGTGGTATCAAGCAGCAGCAGTTATTTGGAGCAGCGGCAGGCAGACGTGAATTATGTAGGTAAAACTCCTCAGAATCTCCATCCTGTTTCCGATGACATCCATTTGACAGTCGACAACACCAGAGTCAACCTCACGTTACACAAGTTGTCTCTCACAGAATCAGTTTCCCTAGGAGCTAAAAGGGCTTCTATAGGCAGAAAGGATTAAGAATGGTTTTAAAAGAAAATACACTCGCGCTGTTTATAAAGCTTGCCCAGAACTTTGTGTTTACTTTAGAGACAGGTAAATACCAGTTGTCTCTCCCTGAGGACTCACTCTTACCACATAGTGCCTGCAGCAGAGGAGGGAGGGTGAGGAGTCCCACCTCTGTGATTCAGAAGAACCTGAGTAACGGTTTCATGTTTCAAGTCACAAAATAAGCCAAGGACTAAATAAACTTAGCTCCTGAGTAATGTCACCATAGGATACTCATTCACCCTGATCAAAAAGTGACTGTTGCATTGCCAACCACCCACAGCCGCAGTCAGTCCTGTTTATTTAAATGAAGAGGGTGTGGACCCAAAAGCTTCATCTTTCCAACCCTTACTGCAGCAACCGAATATTTGGAAACTGCTGTCACACGTCTGAAATATGTCCTATACTGGACAGCTTCCTAAGGCCTCCTAGCCAAGATTTTGGGCTAAAGATTCACCCTGTGATTTTTCTGACCGCTAACAGCAGTTCTGGGAGTTTCTTCTTTTCTTCTCATTTTGTTCCTTAGCAGTAATTTAGTTTGAATATTAAAAAAAAAACAACAAACCCCAACAAACTATATTTAAAACACCCAGTGCAGGTGATGTTGTTCACTCCGAGAGGGTCGCAGGATCACAGTACCACAGGGACAGGCAGGGCAAAGAGCTGGGGAGCTCATCTAATGCAGGCTGCTGCTCAAAGCAGGGTCAGACAAGGTTACTCGGGGCTTTAGCCAGAAAGATCCTGAAAACCTCCAAGGACTGAGACCGCAAAACCTGATGGTGAGATGCTACAGATCTCGGGAATTTGCAATTTCATTCTTAACCATGTCTGAAACAGAGCTGTTAAAGTTTTCCAACTGCACTTCACTTACGCTTAGCTGCAACATTCATATATATTTTATATTGAATTAATTGAATTTAATTGAAATAATGTAACCCACAGCCAGGCTGCTATTTGAATGATTATTGCCTCGATTCCTTTTCTGTGGTAAGCAGAAATTGTGACAGCAGGACAAGCAGCTCTCAGACACTGAGTAGCACAATAACAATGAGCGGCGGTGTGAGGAGTGCGTGCCAGCGCGGTGGCAGCTGTCGGTGGGGTATGGCAGGACGGTGTGGGGGACACTCTGGAAAGAGCTCCGAGCCAGCAGGAACAAGGATTATGTGACAGGCATCAGGGCAGGATTCCATCCGGCTGAGATTCGGTGTGTCCGTGGCCAGACTGTCCCAAGGGTGACCCTGAGCAAGGTGTGTTGACATCCAGTCAAGCCAAGGTTTGCTCCCTGGCATGGGTCACAAATAAACTATAGATATACTTCACATCTGTCTTTAAAAAATCCAGCTCTTGAGGCTTGATGCTCCCCAGCAAATAGAAGGAAAAATGCCTGTAGGAATGCCTGTAGGGTATTTAAAGAACATATAGAAGTTATGAAAGTCCTCAGTTGCAGGTGACTCCTCTGAGACAGCATGAGCACTGCTGG